ATCGACTCCCGGCTTTGAAAAGAGAAAAACCTTGAATTTAAGCAGCAGGTAGATCTGATCCTTATTTTAGGTTGAATTCACAAACCATTTGGTTTATGATTTCTCTTCCAATCAGAAATATTTCAACAGCAGAAACTAAATCAGGAGTGTTTTTTTTTTTGATGAATGAATGAAACAATTTTAAAGGCTTTTCTGTCATCTGTCGATTTGTATTTCACCAGCTGAAAATACTAATTTGAAACTGGCCGTCTGAGATAACGGTTTCTTTGTTCAGGAATAAACGACGTGGGGAATCCTTCCTGGGGATGGAATTCAGCAGAGATGTTGATTCACAGTCTTTGGTTTCAGATCTGCATTTCTGAGCTTGTTAGGTCGAGATCAGCAGTATCGATTCATCACAGGAAACAGATGCAGAGACCAAACAGGATGTAAAAAGGGGATAAAAAGAGACACTCTTACAACCATCCAGAGAACTGCATATGAAAGGCAACAGGGCAGATATTCCTTTTTTTATTTTATTCATTTATAACAAAAAGTCCCTCTGTTCACAGGACTATTATGTTTTTATCTTCTCCTTTTAAGTATTCTTTTAGATCCTGTCGCTGTTGTTTGGATTGTCTATAACAATGTGATCAAACGAAAACCAAAGGCATATGTGAAAAAAAACTAGTTATTCAGATTTTAGTCTGACCCAAGGAGCTGAAAACAGTGTTTTTAAATCTGTTAAAGGTTTCCACGTGATGCTAGAGGAAACAAACACCTTAGACTGCAGGAGTCAATATCAAACTGTACAGGGCCATTGAAAGACGAAAAAAATAGAATTAAAATTTTTGAATTTAAAGTGGCATATTTACAAGAAAAATTTAGATTATAAATTTCGGAGAAAAAAGGAGCAAATTAGAAAATTTTTACGTACATTTGCGGAGCAATGTGAGATTATAACAAACGTTAAAGTATGCGACATAAAGCGCATTTTTGCATGCTTAAAATTGCGTAAATTTGCTCTTTTTTTCTCGTAAATTTGCCTATTTATTCTCATACAATTGCAACTTGTTCCCTTCTAAATTTGTGTTTATAATATTATAAATTTTGTTTTTTTCTTGAAAAATTTGCCTATTTATTCTCATAAATATGCCACTGTAAACTCAAAAAGTGTTTTTTTTTTGTCTTTGAATGGCCCTGTTACGCTGTCGTACCTTTGGTTAAAGGATGTCATTTAAAACAAAAAGAAAACCTTAAAAGCACCGCTGTTAGACTGATCTCGGTTTGACGCTGGGCTATTATCAAAGTACGAAAAACTCTATGTCTAGAAATGTTTAAAATCAGATATATTTTGTTTCTACATGGTTTATCAGCCGTTAGTTCTAAATAATGTCAAATTTATTGTTTATAAGCAGGACGCAATGAGGCAGAAAAATGGTTGATTGAAATTTAACAGAAGAACATCCTGAACATGGCTAAAACTGCGTCATTTAAAATATTGCAGATGCTATTTTCTTTTTCTAACCACATTCTTTGACATTTTTAATTTAATCAGACTAAACTTTCTATGTTTTAGGTCTGTTAAGCTTATTTTGTTCTTTTTTCTACTAAGGACAGATGTTTTCTTGGAAGTCCAAAGTTAAAAAGCACTTGGTCCATTATGCTTTTAACTTCACAGGGAGAGCCCAGACTATGATGGCATTGATTTGCAACCAACTCTGAGGTTAATTTACAACATTTGACTTAACTGGAAGGAAATCTGAGGATTGACTTTATGGAAACGCCTTAAACACATTGCTTAATGTGTGACATCATGAGAAAACCAACAGACATCAGACAAGCAGGGCTGGGCGATATGGACTTTAAATAGAATCACGTTATCGGGTGACATTATCAATGACAATCATTGCCCAGTCATCGCAAGTAATATACCTGAAGAATTTAAACATTTAAATCTGGATTTTTCAGACATCAGTTATATAAAGATGTATGATTACTATCACTAAACATCTGACTGTAACTGCATTTATTTATTTATAATTATTTATGGGAAAACTATTAAAGAAACTTAGTGAAAAAGAAATTATTACAATTCACTCAGGTTACAGTTTTTAAGTCATAATTGATTCTAATCTATCATTTAGATAACAAATCAAAATTGTTATGACTAGAAACTTTTAATGATATCGATAAACGATACGACAAGTACGTCAACCAGAAGGGAACCTTGGACAGCATAAGTGGTCTTATGAAAAGCTCTGACCATTTTTAAGTTCAGAGGATAAACGAGGAAAACTGAAAACATGATGGCATCTGGAGCTTTATGCTGCAGGAGGGATTGGTGCTTTTAACAAAGAGAACAACATCATCAGCAAAGAGTATGATGTGGAAATATGGGAGCAACATCCCCATATCTGACTTAGGAAATTAAAGCCTGGATGATAATAACTCAACGCAGAGGATCGAGCAGAGATAAATATTTTATCGCAGTTTCAATATATTCATAATTTTAAAAACAAAAGTATTTTCTATATTGCACAAACACGTTATATTTGGTCATGTTACATTTCAGAACAGTAAGATGAAAACTGTCCAGTCTTTGACTTTGCACCAAGCCACGAAACGTGGCTGAGGGAAATGGGGAAGGTGTTGAGTCTGGAGTAGCCTCGTGAGACCATCCTGATCTCGCGAGCTTTCCAGGTTTCACTCGCTAATCAGTCCGGAGACTCTCTGTTAAAGAAAATTTGGAGTCTTTCACCAAACGAACGTCCAATCAGCGTTGGCTTTGAGGCGGGTTGAGGTGTGACGCAACGAGAAGCACGACAGTTTAGTCTAAAGAACATGACGGCTTCAGCCGATGAAACTAGCGTTAGCGTGGCTATCGAGCAAGTTTTATCGGAATTACAGAGTATTTCTTCACTGAAAGAAGAGCAAAACACTGCTCTGGAGGCTTTTCTCAGAGGAAAAGATGTTTTTGCTCTTCTCCCGACTGTTTTCAGCAAGAGTAGCCTGGCTTGTGGTTGTGTTTTCGTCGTCGCTCTGTTAGTACGTCATACGCTTCATTGATCCGATTGGTTTATTTGGCCCGTCTATCACCAACATAGGCCAATCAGCTAACCAGTATTTTCGCCCCTTCCCAAAATTACTTCAGCGGAAGGTTTCCAGATGGATATGCGGAGCAAATCCATCTGGCGGAGTCAGGTTAAGTCTGGAGAGGATCAGGTATCACAACATGGACAAAATGAAATACTATCACAAGATCTGGGATCCTCTACTCTCCTACATAAGAGGAAAAGACTGACTCCTGTGTTGCAAAACCTGAATGCCTCCCATGCACTGTATTGTCCCACTATATCAATGACTGTTGTCAATATGTGCTTTGTTCTATGTGTAACAAAAAATATATATAAAAAAAGAAAAAAAAAAACAAGTAATATGCTTGAAGGGGTTTTAACAGCACACAGAAGGGAAGAGAGGGCTGCAGTTTGCACACAGTTTTTGCTGTAGTTTTTCCCGCAGCAGTAAAGTTCCATGACTGTGGACAGATTTACGGCCTTTGGTCAAAAAGTACATTAAATTATTTTAGGAAAACATGTCTAAACCTCTGACTTATATTAAAAACATACTATTTTAGAAAAAAATAGTATGATTTTTAAATATTTTGAAGAATTTTTAACATTTTTTGACATTTAACATTAAAGGATTTTGGTAATTCTAACTGAAATGAAACTAGAACAGTTGCTTTAATGTCAGATAGTGAAACAAAATAGAGGAACTGAGTAATTCTATCCAGTGGATCTACACTCATCGGTCACTTTATTAGGTACGCCTTTCAAGATGACCCCAAATTCTGACCCTACCGTCCGAATGTCGTAGCAGAAATTGAGACTCATCAGACCAGGCAACATTTTTCCAATCTGTTCCAGTTTTGGTGAACCTGTTTGAATTGTTGCCTCAGTTTCCGCTTCTTATCTGACATGAGTGGCACCCAGTGTGGTCTTCTGCTGCTGTAACGCGTCCGCCTCGCGGTTCAACATGTGGTGCATTCAGAGATGTAGTTCTGCATACGTCACTTGTAACAGGTGGTTATTTGAGTTGGTGTTGCCTTTCTATCAGCTAAAAGCAGCCTGGCCTTTCTGCTCTGGCATAAACAAGTCATTTGCGCCCACAGATCAACTCACTGGATAGTTTCTCTTTTTTGGAATGTTCTCTGTAAAACCTAGAGATGATTGTGTGTAAAAATCCCAGGATTCCAAAAAAGTAAAAAAGAAATCCACTGGACTTTGTGTCCAAGTTTTAAGATTTTTCGCTTCCCATCCAGGAAGCTTTTTCAAATCAAAATGTCAGAAATAGCGTTGAGTTCCAGGTTTTATAGAGTAGCCCAACAAAGCCTTGATTTTTCTTAGACAAAATGGACGAACGGGTCCACCCCTTTGGAATTGGGGACGTGTGGCTTCTTTTATTGTCCTGCAATGCCTCACACCAAACAAAAATAGCAAATTTTCTTTGATTTGATTTGGCTGGGTTCGATTCTCGGCCCTGGGTCTGTCTCTGTGTTTCCATGCGATGGACTGGAGATCTGTCCAGGGTGGACCCCACCTCTCACCCGTAGACAGCTGGAGATAGACACCAGTACCCCTCACCACTCCAGCAGGGATAAGCGTGACAGAAAATGGATGGATAAAAAATAGATAATTTCTTGAACGCTCTTGTACGCTAAAAAAAAAACAAGCTAATCGCCCTCACGGGTCAGAGAGAGGCCCAATATGAGTCTCTCTCAGTCACAAACCAACATCCATTTTCTATCCAGGAAAGTAGGATAAACCTACAGTACTTCTGGAAATAGCTACAAACTCCAACCAGAGGCCAGCTTCTTCTTTAACCCCAAACCCATTTCAGAGCATCAAAAATGGGTGTTTACCAAAATGGGACCTGAGTTTTGTCTCCTTAAGGCCATCACACCAGAAAAAGTCCCTAAACAGGTCAAATAAACATGTATACAAAGAGGGACTTCCTACCTCTGCTGATTCGCTGTTTCTCTCCAGATAAAATACCAGGTGTGTCGATGACGCTGATGCTCTGAAGAACCTCATTGGGCATCTGAGAGCAGATAAACCTGACAAACACACAGAAAACAGGAAATGCATGGTTCATTTTATTAAATGCTCCATTTACAAAACGGTTGGTCAGCTAAACCAGTGAGGAGGCGAAGAAAAAAAGCTCCTTCTGATCAGGTGATCACTGGATGTTTTATACTGATGGTTTAAAGATTAGTTTAAGGTTATCTTTAGATGGTTTGAGGGCTAATTTGAAGCTGGTCCAGGAAGGCTCACTCCACCGTAGACAGCCGGGTCCAGAGAGGGCAAAATGTCAATGAAGGGGCCCCAGATTTGATCAAAGATTGCATGTTTTCCTCTAACATTATATAGTATCTTTTCAGATACACGCTCATTGACCCAGTGTCTTACTGATGGTGAATTTTCAGATTTGCAGGCCTCCCGATTAAAATAAAGTATTTCCTGTAATCATTTACATTAATAGGGCCAGTGTCCCTGAATTTGGTTCTCGTTCAATTTTCATTCTGCAAGTTCTGCAAAATGTGATGATGTAAAAAGTCAGGAATGTGTTCTGCAATGATTTCCTAATCAACACCGAATTCCAAGATGATCAATTTAAATGATTCCAATAAAAAGTCACAGAGACGCTTGAGGAGCAGAAAGATGTTCCAACAGTTAGCTGTTCTCCATGTTACATCTAAAACATCTAGTGGTTTTAAACTCTGTCATCAGCTGCTGGAGCAACAAATTCATGCTAAAATAAAAGATGCCTTCAAAAAAGGCGAAGATGATGTGCAGTATCTAGAACATCAGCGGTGAGTTTATTAATGCAACATTAAAGACTTTAGTGCTCCAGTGCAAGTATTCAACAATATGCTTAATTAAATTCAATTCAGTTTATTTCTATAGCTCCAATTTACAACACATGTCATCTCAGGTCACTTTCCAGTTCACCAGATCATACAGTCAGATTGATTTAAAGTTTTCTATCTAAAGAAAACCAGCTGATTGCATTGACTCATTGACTCTTCAGCAATCCCTCACACTAAGCATGCTTGTAGTGACAGTGGGGAGGAAAAACTCCCTTTTAACAAGAAGAACCCTCCAGCAGAATCAGGATCAGTGTGAGCGGCCATCTGCTGAGGCCGACTGGGGTTCAAGGAGACAGAAGCAGACATAGAAAAAGAAGCATAGATACAAAAAGCTGCTCCACAGGCGGCCCCGTCTGATTTGAATCAGCAGTAGGAATCAGCAGTTGTGAATGAACTACTCAACAGTAGTACTTTAGTAAAAGTATTAATATTCATTAGCCCCATTTTCACTACCCTCTAAAAACCTGATCCGTGCCGAGCTTGGATCAGTTGGATCAGTTAACCGTGCCCAGCTCGGTTCCTTACGACCGTTTCGACGGTGGCGATCTACGGTATTACTGCTCTCTAGAGGTAAACAAGCAAATCAACATGGCGGAGCCATAAACATTTAGGAAGTTTGCCGAGATTCAGGCGAAGAAGGCAGCCTTTGGTGAATTTACTTGACAGAGTCGGCTTTTGGGAAGTGAATACGACAAATGATATCTAATCAGGGCTTCCAGACACAAGAAACAACGACAGACGTTGAGGTTCATCACACTGCTAAGCAGAATCATCACTGCAAATCGTGCGACATGGTAGGGAAGCTAGGATTTTCATGAATGTCTGAAATTTCATGATTATGGAGGCTGATTGTAATTTAATTTCAATTCAGTTTATTTCTATAGTGCCAATTTACATGACATGTCATCTCAAGGCACTTTACAGAAGCAATTCAACCAGATCATGCAGTCAAGTTGATTAAAAGTTTTCTATCTAAGGAAAACCAGTTGATTGCATCGACTCATTGACTCGAAGACAATCCCTCACACCAAGAATGCTTGTAGCGACAGTGGAGAGGAAAAACTCCCTTTTAACAGGAAGAAACCTCCAGTAGAACCAGGCTCAGTGTGAGCGGCCATCTGCTGAGGCCGACTGGGGTTCAAGGAGACAGAAGCAGACATAGATAAAGAAGCATAGATACAAAAGGCAACCGTCAACCAGCTAACCATGTTAGCGCGGTTAGGTTGTGTCTGGTGCGGTCCGGTTAGTTGTACATGCCATTTACACTCAACAGTTAACTCGGTTACTGTGCTGGGACCGATCTCAGCGCGGTTTCAAAACGGTGGCAGCAATGGGGCTATTGTCAAATCTTACTCAAGTACAAGTAAAAATGTTACATCTACTCAAGTGAAAGTGTTGAAGTAATCACTTTTGAAAACACTTAAGTATTCAAAAATACCAACTAAATGTACTTTTTTCCTTTCCACCACTGGGTATCAGACTGGTACTCTGTCAATAAACTCCTAATGCTGCATCCTGCATTGAAATTTCAAATATATTTCTAATTATGCAATCATGTATTTTACAATTTAATGATATACCGTATTTAATGTTTCAATCGTGTATTCGTATACAGATAGATGCAACATGTACTATTTTCATGGGACATTCATATTCCTGTATTTAATGTTATATTTTGTACCATCCTCCTGTTGCCCCTTTTACTGGCTCTTATGTTTTTAATATTTCTTTTCCAGTTTAAACCTGTTTGCTTTTTGACGTCCTTTTCACCTTCAGCATCACGTCTGGTCTGAAATGTGTCGGGGTGTGTTTGGTGTGTGTGAGGCTTCCTGCAGAGATAAGCTTGTTCCACAATAAATTATTTTGGAGTGCCAGAGCCTCAGACTGGCAGCGGGAAAAAACAAACCCGTGCAGCCAGCACGTGGTGACGCAAACACACTTCCCCTTGGGAAGCGGCCAATTATTGTGGAGGGCTTGTATGTAACACCAGGACATGGTGGGATTCCTAAAATAAGGGCGGCATCAGGTACACGTCTACACACGGGGCTGAAAGGTCAAGAGTCCGTGCACTTCCTCACTGGACACAGGAAACCTGCATGATCCAGAATTAGGCTGGAGCTAAATTTGAAACCCTGATGGGTCCAAAATCTGACAGCTTTCAGGCATGTGTCCCTTGTTAGTCCAGGGCAGGAGGGGGGGGGGGGGGGGGGGGGGGGGGGGGGGGGGCGGACTTCCCCTGATGGAAAGACTTGGAGTCTAGCAGGATTAGGATTGTACGGCAAATACCAGCAACAAAAGCACAGCAGCGTGTTCTGAGTCTTTACCTGTTCAGGAAGGCATTTCCGAAAGCGTTGAGTTTCCTGAAGGGTTTCTTTGGGTCCACCACCAGAGCGTTGCCGGGGACAACGCCTTCATTTTCCCCGTACATTACAGCAATGAATCCGTCAGTGGTCGGCTCCGGGCCGATACGCATCCCCGGAAAGTCCTGCTCCAGCAGATACCTGGAAAACAACGCCGGGATTAACAAATTTACTGGATCTCAAGCAATGATTTGTTATTAAAGCAATTTCAGTCAATTTAAAAGCTTTAAAAGTTTTTATAAGTTACACTACAAAACCGCAAACCTTTTCCTCATTTTGCTCTTTGAGTGTAGAGTCAGTTCACTGAGGCACCAGAGTATCACTCAGAGAAACTGGAGGTTTGTCCTGCTGTATTAAAGGTGGTGAGTCCTGTTCTCTGGAGGATTCTGGTAGTTCTTTTTGTTCCCATATTCTGCTGTTTGGTTCCGTTTCTCTATTCAATTCAGTCCAGTTTATTCCTAAAGGCTCATCTCAAGGCATTTTATAGAGAAAGTTCAATCAGATCATCTAGTCACTGACTTTGTAGAGACAGGAGATATTCACTTGCCTTCTGTACAGCGGCAAAAAACATGATTAAAACGGGAGATGGTAATTTTTCCCTTCAGATTAAAATTAGGAAAGTTTAAAAACAATTAGAGAAACTTGGTGCAAGTTCGATCACCCTCTGGATTAAATCGTCCACCAGAGAACCAGAAACATGTCTGATCAGCTGAGGCCCAGAGCTAACAGCTGTTAGCTTAGCTAACTGTGGCGTTTAAGGGGAGCTCAGGCTGCTCTGGGTCACATGACCCATTCAGAGACGGGTCGACCCTCTGAGGTCACAGAGGAGAGTTTCTAAGGAGAGCAACACAGAGGAGCATTGATACGCAGCAGGAGATGAAGATGGACTATTTTAGATGAATCTACTGTTTGGGTCCACCAACGGTTCTAGACAGGGGCCAACAGGGGCCCATGCCCTGGATGGCAGGTCCTGGCCCCTGTTATGGCCCCTGCATTTAAAACTAAATACTAGATAAATCTATGATAAATAAATGAGGATATGTGCCGCAAAGAAATCGCAAATGATCGCATATGAGAAATGAACACAGTTCCCAGAGTGGCAAATGGCTCTTTGGTTCCCTTAATATTGATATAATGAACTACCACCCTAGTTTTTTAAATCATTCTTTTGTTTGATATTCCCATGAAAAAAACACTGGTGTTCTGTCAGACCAGCATACCCATAGTCAATACCAGTTTATCCCTTTAGTTCCGCGTTTCTCAAAGTGTGTGGCGCGACCCACTGGTGGGGAATTGAGACGTGACAGGTGGGGCGCGCCAAGTTCCGGTGTGTGTGTGTGTGTGACTATAAATGTAGAACGTGTGAGAGCAAACTGTCCTTATAGCTGTATGTTGCCGCTTTTTAGACCAATCAAACCCACAAAGTAATCATTAATAGCCTACATGCAGTCTAATTAAAAGAACATTAGATATGAGAAAAATTTCACCTGGAACTGAAGTGCCAAAATAATGATTGACGTGACGTCGGCATATTATTTGTAACGGAATAAACTTTCGCGCCCCAGTGTTGCCAACTCAGCGACTTTGTCGCTATATTTCAGACCCCTTCAGCGACTCTTTATCAAAAAAGCGACTAGCGACAAATTAGCGACTTTTGGAGACTCTTACGTGAAAGCACGTATCGTTCCTTTTCTTGTCCTCCAGCGGCAGGTGCTGCCGTGGGGCGCCTCCTCCGTCCCAACCCCGTTCTCCCCCGCTATCGCAGGAGTCCCTCTCAGCGCTGCAGAGACACAGCATGTTTACCCTCAGCGTCCAGACTGCAAATAAAGCGCACATGCGCCGGGATTGGCGGCGCAGGTTGATCATAATTAACTGAATTTGAAATATTTTATCTTAAATAAATAGGACCAGTTTATTGAAATGACGTCTGACTCCACCCTGAAGCTCAGGTTTAATGCTCAGACTCATAGTGAATTCTGGTTTGGAGTGGAGAGGGAGTATCCACTCATCGGGCAGAGAGCTGTGTGCATTCTTCTTCCCTTTGCCACATCATATCTCTGTGAGATGGGCTTTTCAACTGTTGCTTCACTGAAAACAAAATACAGATCTCAGCTGAACATTGAGCATGACTTGAGAGTGGCAGTATCAAGCCTGCAACCCCGTTTTGAGAAACTGTGCAATGCAAAACAGGCTCATTGCAGCCACTAATGCAGGGATAAATAGACCTGTATTGCCAGATGGATTTCACTTCTTTTCTTTTATTAACAGATTGCAGAGTGGCACTTTAATTTTTTCTATCATGGGGCTGGATACAAATTTTGACACAGCTGCATTTTTATTTTCTTTATTTTTGAGCTTGCTGTTATTTGATGTAGATAGTTTGTATTTAGATACTACTTGTTACTTCAATAAAATTGGAACATTTTAAGATTGTTGCACATTTCATTAGCATTGTGTTGGGGCGATGGGGACAGGCGGGGCTTGAAAATTCCCCCTTGTCCAAAGTGGGGAATGACAGAAAAAGTTTGAGAACCACTGCTTTAGTTTAATTCAATTCAGTTTATTTCTATAGCGCCAATTCACATCATGTCATCTCAAGGCACTTTACAGTTCACCAGATCCTCCAGTCAGATTGATTCAAAGTTTTCTATCTAAGGAAAACCAGTTGATTGCATCGACTCATCAGCAATCCCTCACACTGAGCATGCTTGTAGTGACAGTAGAGAGGAAAAACTCCCTTTGAACAGGAAGAAACCTCCAGCAGAACCAGGCTCAGTGTGAGCGGCCATCTGCTGAGGCCGACTGGGGTTCAAGGAGACAGAAGCAGACATAGAAAAAGAAGCATAGATACAAAAGGCAACTGTCAACCAGCTCCACAGGGGGCCCCGTCCAGGAAACACTCAGCCAGGCAAACGAGTTTCGAGCTAGCTCCCATGTCAGAGGATGAAGAGAGCACATCCAGTTAGTCACAGTCAGAGAAACAGGACTACACTGAAAAACAGGCCAAGCTCCAACATCTAGAAACAAAGGTGTTGATGGCAGCAGCACAGCTGATATTCCTCTCCAGGATGGAGTCACAGCCAAACAGGAACAGACCAGATGAAGCTACTATGAGAAAAAGCAGAGAGAGCAGAATGTTAGAGGTTGAACTAACAGATTCTGCAGAGTGGGAGAACAGAGATAGAATGAAGTAGAATGATGAAAAAGGGGTCCCTATGTCCTCCAGCTGTCTAAGCCTATAGCAGCATATCTATAGAGATAGTTTATTCCTTTAGTTTAGCCCTCAATGGGCGTGTATCCCTTTAGTTATGTATAAAAAAAATATCTATTTAATTACATATGTTTCGGTCTTTTTTTAAGTGTATAGCGACCTGACCTTAAATAGATTTTTTGTACATGACTAAAGGGATACATGCCCGTTCAAGTAGTTTAAAGTGTATTTTTCCAACAAAACTAAAGGGATAAACACGTTCCAGCAGTAGATTAGGAGACAAGGGGTCAGCAGTCTCCTCTGCCATCGTTCACATTGCTGAACCGTTTTTAACCCCATCAGCCTGATAGACTGCTCTTTTGTTTGTGTTGAGAAAGGAAAGTGTGACAGGAAGGAAAAGTGGCTGCTGAGAGTCTGTCCTCTTGCTTCCTGCCATTCAGAACAGCATGAAGATCAAAAAGCAAGGAGATAAGGGGGGATCAGATGATCACCATGAAGAAAATCCAAGGGATGGTGATTCCTGACGCTAACTTTACCTTCATTGCTCCTTAGCTGCTACATTTGGATGCATTCAAACTCAGAAGCAACAGATAACAGATGAGCAGCATCTGATTCATGGATCCTTCACTCTTCCCAAAAAGAAATGAAAATTCTTCACTCCGACACAAAGAGGTGCATAAATGGAGGGAAAACTAAACATGGTTGCAATTTTTATTTATTTCCAGAGGAAAATCAGAACAACCTAGCGTGCGTCTTTTTACTGCCCCTCTAGGTCAGAAATACAACTGAATAATTTCCCCAAAAATGAAAATTACAATTATTTTAAATCAATATTGCGATTTTATTTAGATTTTTTATCTTTGCACTAACTATAAGCATGTAGCTGTTTCACTCAAAGGTTGGGGAGTGATGGTCTATATCAGGGGCAACCAATTAAAATTTTAGTGGGGTACGAATAAAGAAAATCATCAACCAGTAAAGGTCTGGAGACATTTTTAATTATAAACTGCTACTTTAAACAGAATTTAACACTGAAATAAAATTAAGTGTTTATGCATCCATGCATTGAATTTTTAAATAAAAAAAAAGAAAAAGAAAATTTTGGCATTTTAAAATCTAAAGTGTTTTTTAAAGTAGAGAACAACAATCATTCAGTTTGGTATTAAAGGAATAGTACACCCAAAACATGATTAGCCTTCATTTTCTACTCACCCCCATGCTGAACAACACTCTGGAGTACTTTTTTGATATCTCAAATGCATCTGGAGATCTGGGAGGCTTCTTGCTGTCTGCTGACATTCAAATAATGGAGGTCTATAGCGCCCAAGGCAGGTCCATAAAAGTCCACAAAAAACGTGTCAATATTCCTCCATACTGCTCGTCCAATGTATTCCAAGTGTCCTGAGTGGGTAGCGTCCAGAATTTACTCGAAACGAAGTCATTTAGAATGTTTTTAGAGCATAAACAGTAGTGTATAGGATTTCCTAAAAGCGCGTTCACGAGTCTACGGAAACCGCGGCAGACCAAACCAGACGAAAGTGCGCATTCAGCTCGGCAAAGAACTCATGCTCTTCCTCAACACTGAAGTCCTCAGACATTTTTCTTTCGTTGTTTCTTTCTTTGCACAGGTAAACAGCACATTTCTTCTTCTACGCTTGCATTATCGGCAGAGCAGACGCTGAATGCGCACTTTCATCTGGTTTGGTCTGCCGGCTTCCGTAGCGTCGTGAACGCGCAGGTGCGCGCTTTCAGGAAATCCTATACACTACTGTTTATGCTCTAAAAACATTCTAAATGACTTCGTTTCGAGTAAATTCTGGATGCTATCCACTCAGGACACTTGGAATACATTGGACAAGCAGTATGGAGGAATATTGACACGTTTTTTGTGGACTTTTATGGACCTTTCTGTCTCGGGCACCATAGACCT